TTTCTCCCTTAACAAAGTCACTTACCTCACATCAGAGAGAACAATTGGAAAAACCTTTGACAAAAGATGAAATATGGACTGCCCTTTTATTGCTGGAAGAAGATAAAACCCCAGGGATTGATGGTCTTCCAAAAAAACTTCGGGAAGTATTATGGGATTTTATATCCCAAGACCTTATGAAATTTTATCAGGCTGTATGGGAATCAAGTGATATGGGAGAAATAGTAGGGCAAGGAGTGTTGACTTTACTCTATAAGAAAGGAGATAAGTTTAACATCAGAAATTATAGACCTATCACACTTATAACTGTGGTTTATAAGTTGATCTCGAAAACCCTCACAAATCGCCTAAATAATGTCATTGCAGACATTATTCATCCCCTACAATCAGGGTTTATCCAAGGTAGAATATTCATGATAATATTTTGTTAGTCAATGAGCTAATTAAGCTTTCTCGCCAGTCTAAGCATAATGCGGCTTTCATATTTATCGATTTTGAGAAAACGTACGATCATGTGGACTGTTTTTTTTTAGACAAATGTTTGGAGAAGTTTAATTTCGGACCACACTTTGAGAGATGGATTAATATTTTGCATCAAAATGCTACAACGAGGGTAATGATTAATGAAAATGTGGCACCCCCCATTACACTTCAGCGATCAGTCAGGCAAGGCGACCCTATCGCACTGCTTCTCTTTGTTATCATTATGGAGGCCCTAGCTGCCAACATAAGATACAACAAAGATATTACGCGTATTCGGGTTTCCTCTATTCCTGAGGAAGCAATTCCAGTTTACTCCCTCTTTGCAGATGATCTCTCTCTCATGGTGGACGCCTCATATGATAGCTTAGAAGCTATTAAGAGAATAATGGACAAATTTTGTAAACTTTCTGATATGCGAGTCAACTRGGGAAATAAWACTCTTGGATGGTGGATCCATCAYCAAGGTGTGAGAMCCCCTRAACTTCCTCGCATYAAATGGGTCCCCCATAATGAACCCATTAGAGTCTTGGGAATWTCTCTCTCASTCTCTGGAAGGCCCACCTCCTCCAATGAGGGAATCTTACAACAAGCAGGGTTGAAAATGGTCTCATGAAGGAGAAACATACTTCCATATAGACCCCCTTATGTGGCTGGAAAACCGTGCATGGACTTTGCCTAGAGGCTCTCGTGGGAACCAAGATATAGAAAGCGTTTCAGAAAGGGAGGCTATCAGAAGGGACCTAGGGAGGGATCCTTTTTGGGTAAATCTTCTAAAGAATTGGAGAAAGCTGCCTATCCCAGATAAAGTTTTTCTAGATAGATGGGAGGAAGTTTGTCAACAGCCTCTTTTTAATAACACCCTTATCAGGGATGTTTTTGGATGTATGTTGCATTGCATGAATGCCCCTTGGAATGGTTAGATTAAAAGGGGGGTATTGCGAGTCAGAGATCTATGGAACCAAGAGATAAGAGATTGACATTCCTCCTCTGATCTGCAGGAGCGTTTGAAATACAGTCATCATCAAATTGAGGCTCTGGATAAAATAATAGACTTAATTCCTCTTGATTGGGTCAGAATCCTTAAGAAGGGGCCCAAGTTTCTTGAGAATGACTGGGTAGCCTTTCACAACCAAAAAGGTGTTGTGGGGATTATTATTGAGTTTTGTAACCCAAATCAAATTCTTATCTCCACTTTTCATGTCCAAGAGGATGGCTTCATTAATCAGAATCTGAAAGAGGAAGTTAGATGGTGTTCTTGTGACCAGCGGTTTAGGATTCGAGTCTTAAAATCGGATGATAAATGGGTGACTTTTAAACCAGACGCCCCTATCTCCCATCTCCCATTCGATCCTATTTATTGGAGTTGGTCTTCTCCTGGGAACCATGCACCTGAGCATCCTAGGAAATTACATACTCTCACTGTCAAAGCTTCTTATAGAATGCTCCGACCGAGAGTTAATCTTAAAGACGGTATTAAAGAAAGATGGCAAAAGCATCTTAACATCGGTAAAGATGAGTTGAGAAGGGTCAATTGGTTTTCTGCCTCCAAATATAAACCTGCCAAAATAGCTTCACTCCAGTGGCAGATATCTCATAGGTGCCTTCCTACCAATGACTGAATTATTAATAGGACTTCCCTTGAACAGAAAGGTATTGCCCTTCCCTTCTAAGCTTATCCCAGAAACTATCGAGCACATTTTCCTCCAATGAACAGAAAGGTATTGCCCTTGAACAGAAAGGTATCGGCCTTCCCTTCTAAGCTTAACCCAGAAACTATCGAGCACATTTTCCTCCAATGCCCGGGGTCAATCTGGTTGTGGAGATGGTGGGATAGGATTTGGAGTCAGTTAGAAACCTCTCTTCCTTGGCCTTGGGAATGGAAAGCCCTACTGTTGGGCTCATGGCATCCGGTCCAAGTGGTTGATTTTACCTATAATATATTCCAAGTAAGTAGGCGATCAATCATTTGGGCAATATGGACAAGGAGATGTACTTATGAAATGGAAAATGCTCGTCTAGATGGTCCAGAATTCACTGAAACCATTAAAAATCAGATTCATATAACTATCAAATGGAATCAAGTAAAAGATTGTATCCAGTTTCTCTTGGATATAAAGGAAATATGGCGTCACATAAAAGAATTWAATAAAAGTTGGCTTGGAAATGACCAGGGTGGGAGGATGGGGAAGGTAATCTGGGAAGGAGGTTCCTTACAGGCTCAAGCTCCATTGAAGAAGAACTATCGACTGATCTTAGTGTCTTGGTTTGGTTAGACAATGTGATTTCTGTTTGAAAACTAGTGATGTGCTTATTAGTCACGAGGATCTGGCACCCTGTAAGGGTGAAGAGGCACTTAACTAAGTTCCTGTTCAGGAAAAGTTCTTCAGCATCATCATCACCATCATCATCATCATCATCATCATCGTTATCCTTTTCATTATAAGGGACGCTGAGCCCGGTTCTCATCAATTTTGGTTTGGTTACTCCAGGTAGACTGTGAGGACCCCGGCCTCAATCTTCGTATTGGTAATATCAGCCTTGGGCACTGGGCCCCCTTTTAATAAAAAAAAAAAAAAAAATCTTGCACACCGAAGAATGAGGAGGAGCGCTTTGCTCCTCCTGGAGATATAGCGGCCTGCTTGCCTCTTGACTTCCTAGGCCGCGTGGCCTCCAAGCAACCAGTACCCCCACCCTTTCGGAGGGAAACATCATTGCAGACGCTGATATTGCCCTTACAGGCCCTAGACTCAGACTGGTTGGACTGGTACCCGCTTAGACCTAGGCTGCAACTACTGGGCCTCTAAAAATGCCAACTTTTGTCTTCTTCTGCTCGGCCTCGAGTACCCGGCACATCTACCTCTACGTGGTGTGGTACCGGCCTACCTGCTACTCGAGTGTTTTCCGCTGCTGTAAGTGTCGGGGGCGTCTTTCCCCACCACTTGAGTGTTTTCCCTGCTGCAACCATCAATGTCACGGCCACAGGTAAGTACCGGCCCTTCGGCCCTCCCGCACGGTCAAGTACCCGTGCGGGTCACAAACAGACTCAAACCGAACTGCACTCAGACAGGCACGCAAACCAGCAAGCACGCACACACTCAGACTTAGAAGACTCGGCAACAAGCAGGAAACTCAGCAAGGGATACATTCCATCAGCAAAACTCAGAAATCAGCTGTGTGTGTCTCAGTTTTGGCAGGTCCTTACAGCTACCCGAATCTGTATATGGGTCCACCACTACCAACATGCACAAAAGATAAAAAACATGGCAGTGTAACGACACGCACATAAGATCATAAAATTTGGTGGTGTATCTTCCCATATTCTAGCGGCAGATTCATTCTCATTTGCAAGTGGGTCCACTCCTACCCCAATGCACAAAAGACAAAAAATATGGCGGTGTATCTTCTCGTGTTCTAGCGGAAGATTCATTCTCATTTTGTACATTTGGTGTTTTTTTTTTTTTGAAAGGGCCTCCGCCTTGAGATATCATCATCGAACTGACCGGCCCTGGGTAATTCAGATTTGTAGTATTTCACTCATCTGCTTCCGGTGGAGTTTCAACTCGGGTCTGTATTTCAACAGGGGTTCAGGGGTGTACCAATTCAATTTTCGACGTGGATGCCCTCCTACCCACATGTGGCAAAAGAAAAAACACTGCGGTGTATCTTACCATGTTCTGGCGGAACATTCATTCTCATTTTGCATGTTTGGCAAGTCAGGGCTCGGGTTTTTATTTTCTTTGAGGGGTGGCATTGTCTTGTTTTTCATGGGGGGGGGGGGGGGGGGGGGGCCGGGGGGCGGGAGAGGCGGTTTGGGCCATCTGGCCCACATACCATCGCCCACGTGGAGAAGATGCAGAGCCGTGCCAAGGAGCGAACTGTCCCTGATGTTCGTGATGTGTTTTTTGCCCCCCTCGTGATACTGTGGCATGCATCCTCTTGTTTCTAACAATGATAATGAACCCAGCACAGCAATGACTTTGACCCTCATGTGTGCTGGGTTCATAACCATATTGTCTCACAATGATTATGAACCAAGCACAATAACTAAAGTTTTGCCCCTCATTTGTCCTGGGCTTGGGGTTGGGTTCATATCTATTTTGTCTAACGATGATTATGAACCCGGTTGTCTGACAATTATGATGAACCCAGCACAGCAGTGAATTTGACCCTCATGTCTACTGGGTTCATATTAGTTCATAACCACTTTGTCTGACAATGATTATGAACCCAGAATAACAACGAATTTGGCTTTCAAGTGTGCCAGGTTGATAGCCGTTTTATCCAGAATCGTGTGCTGCTGAGGGTCAAATTCATTGAATGAAGGTCGGTGGTAGTAGGACTCGTTATACAACCTAGGCAGAAAAGAGGGGGGACAATTTTATCTGTACTTCTGGAATATTATATTTTGTGCAGTCCTGAAGTGAAATGAACTGTGTAGTGAAGTCATTTCGGCCGCTTTCTAAGCGCTGTGACCTGGTTTGACACAAGGGTTGGTCTTCCCATGGTGCACTCTGCAGGTGCATGTCAGGAAAGAAATGTTCCGAAAGACAGATGCGATGATAGGTGTACGGGCATCCTTTGGTAAGTTACAGTTCTTCGTTCATATACATCATATTACATATCCGTTTTTGTTCTTTTGTCCAAATTGCTTCTCAAAGAAACAGCAGTTTTTCTGATTGGCTTTTTACTAGTTTCTACCAATCTACCGAAGGGGTCCAGAGTCGCCTGTTTAGGGTGCCGCAGCGAGAGGATGGAGCTATTTTTCTTTTCTCTTTTTCTTTTTTTTTTTGACTGTGTGTGTCTGTAAATCATTGTGAGAAGCAAGGGCAATCACTGTACATAACGAATGTTGAGGACTAGCATCATTTTGTAAGGAAAATGAGGGATAGCGAAATGAAAGAAATCCAGAATGCAAATTCCCATTGAAAGCCAGAATGTCCAACGATGTCCAGAAAGCAGAAATGCACTGATATTCACCAACGGAGAACCAAAGCACCGAATCCGAATGTCAATGAGAGCATACTCTCGCCATCACCAACACATGCATCCAGAGTCCTTCCTCCTACTTGGCGCTCAGCCCCCAGACTACGTTCACACAGCTACTGCCAGCCTACGAATTGACAATGAAACCTGTTGACGTCAGCAGCAGACCCGAAGTACATGAAGATGTCAACCCTTGTAGACCATTGCCAAGACCAGGTACGTGCC